AAACTTGTCAGTAAATAACTATTTGATTGGCATTCATAGAAGTTGGTAGGCCAATAAATAAAGATACAACTTTATGGATGACAACTTCTGGTAACTTGAATATAGCCACGTTTTTTGTGTAGATTCTAACAACGTTACCCAGCTTGATAACAGTGTAAGAATCTATTTCGAAACGTCGCTACATGCAATTAACCTGAAGTTGTTATACATAAAGTTTAATGTTTTCTTATTGTCTGCAAATTATTCCAGTAAATGAATGATGCTTTGGTTTGGTTGTTGGTTATATAAATATAAAATTTATGTATAATCTTAAAAATTATTGGGGTAACTCTTTTAGAATCTTTTATTGAGCTCCACAACAAATATACAGGTTCTGCATCTGAGGGCATCTTAGTCGAGCCAAGGCAGTCCTGATGTAATGACAGAAATACAATTGATATATGTTTCAGTACAAAATAGATTATGAACTTGTTTGTGAGCCAAGAGACATTATGCCAATGCAGTCCTGTTCATCCATAGTGTTTTATCTAATCATAAGTTCTTTCACTAATCTCTGAAAATTATTAATAGTATTAATATATTTAGATTTCTACATAAAGGTTAAAAGTGAGAAAGAAACTCTTGATAGGTCTGCATAACAAGAGGGATGACTGCAACGTTCCATTGAGACCAGGGATGGTTTCTGGTGTCGAATTTGGAACAGGTCTACCAAAGGTATACCAAGGAGTGTCTGGTATAACTGGAATACTTGTTGCCAGATATGAATGTGTCAGTCAACATGTATTTTTGTGGCGTTTTCATGGTTATCATACTATTTTGGAAAGAGCACTTTTACGACATTTAAAAAGATAAATCTTCAATATGAAGAGATATTTAATTAATCTTGAATGCTTTGTTGCTGTTCTTGCTTGAAATTCATTGAATTTTTGCTCGCATCATTCTTCGTATTTCATACATTATAAATACAGTACCACGTATTTGGTATCGTAAGAAACCTCATAGAACCTACTTTCTGAACAAAAATTATACCAGTTACGGAATTTTGTGACATCTTATATAAAAGTGTATTGCTGTCAAACTTCAGGAAGGTGCTAGTGCTTGTGACATTAGTGCATGTAATTGTGGGTCAGCTGCTGTCTCTGAAGTCCTACATGGAGAGCACCGGTAGATTGTGACAGGTTCAGTGCTGTTCACATGAACTAGTATTTGTTTTCACGCAGTTTCGATGTTTCAGGTACAAAATTTGGATTTCTCATCATTCTACGATTATTCTGAAACACGGGTGGTATTTGTTTTCAGTGTCACTCAGGTCATGTGTTCTATCATTATTGATACTATGTTCTAGTATTATTGATACTATGCCTGGGTATCATAGTCAATTATTATGAACATTTAATGAACAAGGGATGACTACATGTGCAGGTAACCTGTACAAATAAAATAAGAAAATAACAGTTATATAAACGTAAGATGCAGTCATGGTGTACCGGGTAATCATGTGTGCTTGAAATTATACATTACAATTCCTAATGGTATACTGTAAAAAACACTTGACGGATTATGAAAGCATCAAGTGTGTCATGTGACCTTGACATTAACCTTTGACCTTTAAACATGCATACGCATGTTTGTAAATAGCTGTATAAGTTATACAATCAATAACAAAAACATCAAGTAAAGCTTTAGCATTATCTTCGAAATAATAACTTTATTCGAAAGCCAGTAAAAGTCCTCGTTGCCATGGAAACTCCAAAAATGTTATTGTCCGACACTTGTTATCTTGGCAACATTGGATTTCATAAAGTGTCTCTGTAAATCGATTATGCTGGTCTTATACTTTTGTTCACACCAAAAGGAGTAGAAACATTCAATTTTAGTCCTGATTAACTCCAAAACTGATGAATATGCCCTTGGCCTTGGCCTTTGCCCTTGAAGATGTTTATCCATGTGTAGTTATGACGCAGAGTGCAGGATAACATGAACACTCGTAAACATCCAGGAAAAGCAACAGTTAGAGAATGACAAGATATCGTACATTTCTGTGCTACAATTGAATATGCATGGTAACCATGGACAGGCACCAAATGACATGTTTTCTAACATTTACCGTCGTGAAATTGATTTTATCAGAAAGGAAAGTAGATTCTGGGAGGTTTCTTATGATACCAAACACACAGTACTGTACTTATTATTTGCTTAGCAGTTAGGAATGATGCGAGATAAAGCATAGATAGTGAATCAACCAGGGTATGAAACTCCCAAAAATTTCAGCCAGACCACAGGACTGGCTAGCTGAAATACTTGCCAGCCCTGACCAAAACCTGCCTGCCCACTATAATCATATGTTTCTCAGGATTATTTAATTAAAAATATGAAAACTGATTCCTTGTAGCATAAGCGCATCGCTAAATGTTAGGTTGTCTAAAAGCTAACTGGGTTTCTTTTTGGTTACATTTTATCATTCATCTTTACATGTGAATTAATGCTTATCATCGGGAAATATTTAGAACATTTTCACCTATGAAATATAACCCGACCGTCGGGCAGGGGGATTTGAAAATCTGACAGCCCGAGTTGAAATCAACCCGTCTCGGACGGTCGGGCAGGCAGGTATTTCGAACGCTGAATCAACCAAGAGCAGCGAAAGGCAACAAGATAGCAAGTGATGACGTCACCAGTTACGGGGTTGGACGTTGTGACGTCACCTGAAAGGAGATGGCTGGATAATGATGTCATAGTGTAAACAAGGGACAAGTATAAACAGGAAATGGGAAAGAAGATGGTTGAGCGGATTTCAATAAACGCATTTAGTGTATAGCACTAAATGCAGTAGCAGTTGTGTTCTTTCCACAATAGCATGGTTACCATAATGGAAACTCACCATAAATGAAATTTTGCCTGACACGTTCATGTCTGACATCAAAGGTTTTGGCAAACTAGAGATACAAGCTTTCAAGCGATACCAAATATACTTTTTACACCTCCGGTAGACCTATTGCCTTTATTTTGCTATCGCCATTAGTTTGCTCGCTGGTTGTAGATTGCCACATTAGTTTTCATTCAAGGCCTCAGTAAAGCTTTAAAACGTTTTATGGTAGACAAATGTGAAATATTATGTCCGATGCAATTCCCTATTTTGACCACCTGGTGTCATCACTATTTGATAGTGATGCATAAACATATGCTCATGATATAGTCTGAAGCTTACAACGGACTCTGCTTTTCGCAGAGATTTCCTATGAATATGGAAGCGTTTTGTCGCGCTTTTTTTCAACTTTCCAATTGTCAGCTTACGCTTTGTGTAAACCAATACTCCATACACTTTTTTCACTTTAGCTTTAGTATGCGGTGATGTCTTCTATAGACATTTATGTGCTGTGGGTTGAGGAAAGAACGTTCTTTCTTTAGTTTTTCATTCATTTAAAATCGTATTAAAAAAATTACAAGTATGGTAGCTGTTCATCTGAGATATATGGAACTACGTGTATTATAAAGATTACAGTCATGACATCAGATACATTTCACGAACAGGAAATACATGGCTAATAAATTTTTCATCGTGTACATCAAACAGGTTTTAGTGTCTTTGACGTGATAGTGATAATTATTGTTGGAAAACACATATACAAATGCGATGTAGTGTTTCTTTACACTATGGAATTGTCCAGGCTGAAGATACATCACTATAAAAGACTGGCCATAAATAGCAACTTTCTTAAAGCATTTTCTTCCTGAATTAGCTCCTAAGAAATATTTCACAGTTTTCTGCTATTTCACAGACATATTTTTTTTTTAATTTATGAAATCTTTCATTTGCCTCATGGAATGGTAGGTATATGAGGATTGATTATCGATATTTATTCGTTTTTACTTTTCATATTATGATGCTTTTTATGCATAATTCTATAACGAAACAATAGTCAACGTTGCAACGACATTTACCTTAAAGAGACATTAAGGTATTTTGCCGTCCGACCAAGAACAATCGCAAACCATCGATAGCTACCGGCACTCCTGGTAATAAGTATTGAATTATGAACAAATTAACGTTATTAATCCTTTAAAATCAGAGACCACATGGCGATAGGTGATATTCGCCCATGTTTCGGTTTGCCTTGAACACAAGCTCATTAGCTTTGAATCACAGTTTGACAATATGTAACATATTAAAACACGTTATTGTGATCATATAAATGTATCGATGACTGAGCCAATAAGTTTACTTGAATTGTATGGCAGCTTGATGAATCCTCTTACCGTGGAACTAAGACAGACATTTTCCAGACATGCCTGTACAGCCTGATGTCGTTTAGGGTGCACAAATCAACTGCACAATATAATTGTACAAAACAAGTGTACAATGCATGTGACGAATATAAATTACAGTCGATAGAACCACATCATCTTTTCGCTTACGTTTCGTTGTCATTGGTCAACTTACACAGTCATGTGACCATCATACAGGTGCACCGTGTGTACAAAGCTGTAACATACACAATACAAACAATTAGAAACAGGTGGTCAATATTTAGATACTTAACGAGTCAAAAGAAGAATGTTGGCTACGTTCTAAGCTGAAAATGCAGAAACGTGTCCTTGAGAAACCTTGTGTGCAACGTGCACCACCATCAACAGCTGCACGACAGCACGCAACTACAACATTAGTCGATGCCAAAGCCCTGTTGCTTGTGTTTGGTCAGTATGAATATATTTGCTTTCAAATGACATAAAATGATCCAATGTACATATGCTGTATTTGTTAAACTACGTGTAAATACTCCCATGTGTATTCGGAAGACACCTTTTCTCATAAGTAAACCATTTTTTGTTGTTTCAAAAGAGTCGGTGTAAATACGGGGAAATGTTGCGAATCAATGCACCGATGGCGTGCTGTTTATTTGCGTGAATATGACTAATGACAATATGTTAGGTAACCGTGCCTTCTGACGTCACGGGCACCTGTTGGGGGTTACAGTGGCTATAAAATGCCACGGCTTTAGGGTTCTGAACATCATCATCATGAAGTCGTTACTGGTGTTGTGTTTGCTGGTCTGCCTGGCTGTTGCCTACGTTGGCGCACAAAAACGGTTTTACGCATACGCATACTCTTCTGGGCAGACAGGAAGTGGATACAGCAGATATAGAGCACCAAGATACAGCGGCTCCCAAGGAAGTACATACGGCAGATACAGAACACCAACATACAGCGGCTCCCAAGGAAGTACATACGGCAGATACAGAACACCAACATACAGCGGCTCCCAAGGAAGTACATACGGCAGATACAGGAGACCAACATACAGCGGCTCCCGTTGGCAGTAAGTGTGGCTGCATATCACATTAGGATGGAACGTTTGTGTCACACTGTAGACGAAGGATGATTTCATATTTGAATAATTACACACTTTATTCTGCGTATGTATTCAGTCAATAGTTCTATGGTTACTTCTTTACACATTTGTCATTCCCATTCATTCTGGGGCACTGGTGGCCCAGTCGTCTAAGGCGCCGCAATTACAATCATACAGTATATCACTTCAGGTTGGTGTAGTCATTTAACATTACCTTCACAGTTAAAGTGGGGGCACGGTTGGCACAGTCGTCTAAGGTGCCGCGTCTAAAGTATCGCTGTGCAACCGATCCAGGACAGGGGGCACGGGTGACCCAGTCGTCTAAGGAGTCGCGATTCGCTGTGCAGAGTTGCGTCCCTTGGGCACGCCAGAAACCTATGATTGTGGGTTCGAATCCCGGTTCGCCCCGATTATGTTTCTAGGTTTGTCAGCACCATACCCGTGCTCGTGGGTTTCATCGAAGTGGTAAACGTCTGAGACCTGCATCACTTCGGGCTTTCCGCCCACATTAAGCTGACACGCCGTGCTATAACTGGAATACTGTTAAAAGCGGCGTTAAACCCAACTCACTCACTCACTTATTCATTCTACAGATTTGGGTTTGTTCACGTGTCTCTTTGTTTATCTGTATGGGCAATCACAAAAAATAAATGTATCTTTCATTTTCATTTTGTTGAAAGGTACAACCACCCCCAGCCTACTACCACTACTCCCCCTCCCGTTACCTTCCCGTCAGAACTTTACAACCAGCTTCCAGAAGACATTCTCGGCAACGCTCTGTGCTACATGCTAGGAACAAACCGTTACATCCAAAATGCGGCTTTACTTCGCATATTCCACACCCATCCGCATCAAGCTCTTCAAATCTACACAATTATGCGACAGATGGTAAACTCTAACATCAAGGAAGGTCTCGCTGTTGTACGCGATGAAGGTAAAGGAATTTTTCCCTTTATGACAAGTTTATGTACAACAATAGATGTCCAAAATAAAATCTCTCAGACAAAATGTGCCTACTGAGCATAAACGATGCACATAAATTTAATGACTTAAAATGATCATGATTTCGTTTGCATGGGTTGCTGAAGACCTATCTTCATGGATTATTATTATTATTATCAGCACTCGATGCCATTTCCCCTGCTGGAAAGGAGAAGATGTGCAATCTGCTTCAAAACATGCCAGACAACTACAACGCCTGCGGCTTCCAAGACCTCGTCAGCATCTTGGCCAACGACTGCACACAGCAGGTCAACAACACCGTGCTAACAACACCTACGCCACCTGCACCAACTACAACGAAAGCAACTACAGCTGCACCAACTACAGCGAAAGCAACTACAACTACAACAACTACAACAACGACTGCTGCTACTACGACAACAACAACATCAACAACGACTGCTGCTACTACGACAACAACAACATCAACAACGACCCCTACTCCCACTCTTAGTAAGTCTATATTGATAAAGCAATATCATAGTGCATATCTTCGAGGATTAGCATGTCCGAAGTAGATACACCAGTGACTCATGATCAGAATGTTCCTGAACCCAAAACCTTTGGATTTTGAAGTCGTACCAGCAAGGCTGTAAATATGGGAGGCGTAAGTTGGCTTCCATTCGAACTCAAACGAGTTTCACACTTTGCATCCTTCAGGACCATCCAATGCTAATTGTACCCTGAATGGGGGATTATGTTTATGACGACTTTAATGTTTACCAGTGACTCTTTCTGATCCCCTCAATTTTACGTATTTTAACACTGGTGCATGCGTCTTCGAATAACTTCCCTTACCAATGACATCTCCCCTCATCAGATAACAGACCAACCAACCCCCTACTGTGGATCTGATCCCCACAATAGTCATGTCATTCTTGAATAGAAATAAACAATAGTCACCATCCACGTTATTTGACACCATACTCTGGTATACAGGACAAGGATGTACTACATGATATTTTAGTTTTGTTATGTTATCGCTTCACTCCAAACATGTTTATTATTTTGTAAGGAAAATGGAATTGACAACGATTGGTTTCTTCACATGTTTTAAAATGTTTTCTTTTGAAAAACACAGATCATTGTGGATAATGTGTCCTAGATCGGTTGCTAGGGTCATCATACAATATATCACTTCAGGCTGGTGTAGTCATTTCACATTACCTTCACAGTTAAAGTGGGGGTACGGGTGGCCAAGTCTTCTAAGGTGCAGAGTTGTGTCCCTTGGGCATGCCAGGAACTATGATTGTGGGTTCGAATCCCTGTTCGCCCCGATTATGTTTCTAGGTTTGTCAGCACCATACCCGTGCTCGTGGGTTTAAACGAAGTGGTACACGTCCTGCAGATCATTGTGGATAATGTGTCCTAGATCGGTTGCTAGGGTCATCATACAATATATCACTTCAGGCTGGTGTAGTCATTTCACATTACCTTCACAGTTAAAGTGGGGGCACGGTTGGCCCAGTCGTCTAAGGTACCGCGTCTAAAGTATCGCTGTGCAGAGTTGCGTCCCTTGGACACACCAGAAACCTATGATTGTGGGTTCGAATCCGAACGGTTACGTTTCTATTATTCGATTATGTTTCTAGGTTTGTCAGCACCATACCCGCGCTCGTGGGTTTCACCGAAGTGGTAAACGTCCTGTATCACTTTGTGATTTTTCTCCCACATTAAGCTGACACGCCGCGATATAACTGGAATACTGTTAAAGGCAGTGTTCAACCAAACTCACTCACTCACTCACAGTTAAAGTGCTTTCAAATTTTGACAAAGTTTATAGACTTGACAATGTTAATCATTCTTCAGATTGCAACGATATAACTTCTATCCGAAGTGTTGCCATAACAACAAGAATTGTTGGAGGCTTCGCAGCACAGCAGGGTGCCTTCGACTCCTACGCCTCCCTCAACATCGGAGGCAGCGCTAACCCCGTGTGTGGAGCTACAATCATCGACTCCTGCACTATTCTGACAGCTGCACATTGCGTTAAGTAAGTACATCAACCTTATAATGCCCATTGTGCTAAGTAAGTACATCGTCTTTACATTGCCCATTGTTTTCAGTACGTTCACCCACGTTCTACTGCCCATTGTGTTCAGTAGGTACATCAACCTTATACTGCCCATTGTGTTAAGTAAGTACATCAACCTTATAATGCCCATTGTGCTAAGTAAGTACATCAACCTTATAATGCCCATTGTGCTAAGTAAGTACATCAACCTTATAATGCCCATTGTGTTAAGTAAGTACATCAACCTTATACTGCCCATTGTGCTAAGTAAGTACATCAACCTTATAATGCCCATTGTGCTAAGTAAGTACATCGTCTTTACATTGCCCATTGTTTTCAGTACGTTCACCCACGTTCTACTGCCCATTGTGTTCAGTAGGTACATCAACCTTATACTGCCCATTGTGTTAAGTAAGTACATCAACCTTATAATGCCCATTGTGCTAAGTAAGTACATCAACCTTATAATGCCCATTGTGCTAAGTAAGTACATCAACCTTATAATGCCCATTGTGTTAAGTAAGTACATCAACCTTATAATGCCCATTGTGCTAAGTAAGTACATCAACCTTATAATGCCCATTGTGCTAAGTAAGTACATCAACCTTATAATGCCCATTGTGTTCAGTAGGTACATCAACCTTATACTGCCCATTGTGTTAAGTAAGTACATCAACCTTATACTGCCCATTGTTTTCAGTAAGTACATCCACGTTATCCTGCCCATTGTGTTAAGTAAGTACATCAACCTTATAATGCTCATTGTGTTAAGTACGTACATCAACTTATACTGCCCATTGTGTTAAGTGAGTACAGCCACGTTATCCTGCCCATTGTGTTAAGTAAGTACATCAACCTTATGCTGCACTTAGTGTTAAGTAAGTACATCAACCTTATACTGCCCATTGTGTTAAGTAAGTACATCAACCTTATACTGCCCATTGTGTTAAGTACGTATATCAACTTATACTGCCCATTTCGTTAAGTAAGTACATCAACCTTATACTGCCCATTGTGTTAAGTAAGTACATCAACCTTATAATGTTCATTGTGTTAAGTAAGTACATCCACGTTATCCTGCCCATTGTGTTAAGTAAGTACATCAACCTTATAATGTTCATTGTGTTAAGTAAGTACATCAACCTTATGCTGCACATTGTGTTAAGTAAGTACATCCACGTTATCCTGCCCATTGTGTTAAGTAAGTACATCAACCTTATAATGTTCATTGTGTTAAGTAAGTACATCAACCTTATACTGCCCATTGTGTTAAGTACGTATATCAACTTATACTGCCCATTTCGTTAAGTAAGTACATCAACCTTATACTGCCCATTGTGTTAAGTAAGTACATCAACCTTATAATGTTCATTGTGTTAAGTACGTACATCAACCTTATACTGCCCATTGTGTTAAGTAAGTACATCAACTTATACTGTCCATTGTGTTCAGAAAGTATATCAACCTTATACTGCCCATTGTGTTAAGTAAGTACATCAACCTTATACTGCCCATTGTGTTAAGTAAGTACATCAACCTTATACTGCCCATTGTGTTAAGTAAGTATATCAACTTATACTGCCCATTGTGTTAAGTAAGTACAGCCACGTTATCCTGCCCATTGTGTTAAGTAAGTACATCAACCTTATGCTGCACTTAGTGTTAAGTAAGTACATCAACCTTATACTGCCCATTGTGTTAAGTAAGTACATCAACCTTATACTGCCCATTGTGTTAAGTAAGTACATCAACCTTATGCTGCACTTTGTGTTAAGTAAGTACATCAACCTTATACTGCCCATTGTGTTAAGTACGTATATCAACTTATACTGCCCATTTCGTTAAGTAAGTACATCCACGTTATCCTGCCGATTGTGTTAAGTAAGTACATCAACCTTATAATGTTCATTGTGTTAAGTTAGTACATCAACCTTATACTGCTCATTGTGTTAAGTACGTACATCAACCTTATACTGCCCATTGTGTTAAGTAAGTACATCAACTTATACTGTCCATTGTGTTCAGAAAGTATATCAACCTTATACTGCCCATTGTGTTAAGTAAGTACATCAACCTTATACTGCCCATTGTGTTAAGTAAGTACATCAACCTTATACTGCCCATTGTGTTAAGTAAGTATATCAACTTATACTGCCCATTGTGTTAAGTAAGTACAGCCACGTTATCCTGCCCATTGTGTTAAGTACGTACATCAACCTTATACTGCCCATTGTGTTCCGTAAGTACATCAACTTATACTGCCCATTGTGTTCAGTAAGTACATCAATTTATACTGCCCATTGTGTTCAGTACGTAGACCCATGTTCTACTGTCCAATCCGGTCTTCTTGGTGGGACAGGATCCGTTCACCTTTTCGCGAACAACTGCTAACATCACTGTTTATAGTGATTCATAAACACCTGCTAACATCACTGTTGATAGTGATTCATAAACACCTGCTCATGAAACATTGGGAAGCGAACAAAAGAGATTTCTTATGAATATGGAAAGTGTTTTGACGCATATATTTGGGTATCACATGAGACAGGTATACCTATACATTCTGGTTGACGTTCAGTTGTTTGATAGATATTTGTTGGCAAAGGAAACACTGCCCTAACCCAATTTGTACCTTTCTTGTCTAGTGGCCAGACTGCTGATCAAATCAAAGTCAATGTCGGCGACCACACAACCGTAGCATCAACCACGCAGCTCAACGTCAACAGCGTCACAGTCCATGAGAACTACAACACTCAAACTACAGGTAAGGGCGGACCATATGATTTCTAAGGGTGGGGACAGGTTTATTTAGGAGATTTTGTTTGAAAAAAAATAACTCAATAAAAAGTATCAAACACAATATGGGCATCCTCACATACAGAATATTTCGTGAGCAAAGCCATAATCTTTGACAAAGAGACAGCGTGCCTGTAACCCGTATTTATTAACAATCATTTCAAATCGTCCATTTTAAAAGGCCATAACAGCTGTTGAATGTGATGGGATATGTCCATTAAGCACCATATACCCTTAATTGGAACCTGGCGAGCAAAAGAAAAGTTACCAGTCAACATTGTTCCTAAAAACAGAACAGAAAGATACTGGTATGGTCAAAAGACATGAATTAACAACATCATTCCAAGTTCCGCCATGAGAATCAAGTTGGCCTAAAGTGTACCCTTTTGCAGTTTGAGATGCATCAGTTGTGAGGATAAAGGGTTTGGTTTGCTCGGGACATGCAAGGATGGGGGCTGTTGTAAGGGCTTGCTTTGGCTTTGCGAATGTATGTTGGCAATTGTTTGACCAATCGAAAGACGCATCTTTTTTCAGAAGGTTTTGTAGAGGGAGCGATGCCAGAAAGGTTTGGTAAACGTTGTGACAATAAGAGATCTAAGAAATGACACACGTCATGGACATTTTTAGAGGGTGGGATCGGTGGGACTGAATCTATTTTTGAAGTATATCGACATGGATGCCATCTTTGCTGATGATATGCCCTAAGTAGGTGACTTGTTTTGTCTCAAATTTACACTTGCTTAGTTTTCAAGTTAATGTTCATGGCACTACACAGTTTTAGCAAATAATGCTAATTTAAGGAGAGTAGGGTTGATGGTGTTGGCTGAAAAGGTGAGTTGGATGAGCAATAGGAGCATTTTGAGGCCAATGAGGAGGCGAGTCCATCCAAAATCACCATCAGGTGTAGTTTAGGCCGACTTGTGTTTTGCATCTGGATGGAGTTGTATTTGTCAAAAGCCACTCGTACAATCAAGCACACTATGAATATTGGCAGAGGTGGTAGAGGGAAAACATGTAGGCTTGGTAACTGCGTTGAGGCGTCTTTAATCTGCGGCGAAGCGGTAAGAGCTGTCACGTCTTTTTTAACCTTGACAATAGGAGAGTACCTTTCAGAAGAACTGTCTGAATGATATCAGCTTCAAAGATTGCACCCGTCTGGAACATTCTTCCCCAATGGGTGCGTTTTGCCTATAAGAGGGAGTCTATTGGATCTGGTGTCACCTGTTTCTATTCTGTGATGATGTAAGTGAGTGTGTCCTAATTCTGACCAGTCTGAGGCAAAAACTGATCTTTGCGATTGGAGAAATGCATTTTACTTTGTACTTGGACTTTCAATATTTTTAAAATGCTTTTGGGGACAAAAGCTCCACGACGTTTAGGCGTATTGTTATGGTTCATGGCTAGTTGTGGCATCAGCCAAGGCCGCCGCCTCACCAACGACGTTGACATAGACGATGACGTATCACCCCTATCCTGTCTATCCAGTGTGCCTGTAACGGACCATCAGCCTGGTGACTGGCATTCGGCTACAGCCAAACCTCATTGCAACGTGGTCATGCGTTGCTTCTTGATGTATCATACCAATGGCTTGTTCTTTCAGTACCATTAATCTCAGCATGTTATTTGTCACTGTCCAACGGTTTTGGTGTGAATGAACAGTACATCGTTCCTTCTAGATCCATATCTTTGTAGGCAGGCATGCTGCAAGTGCAGCAAAGGTTTCACATTAAACTCAAGTTCCACTGATCTGGGTAATGAAGCACGTGCATTAATCAGCAAACTGTTGTGGTTGTGTTTGGGCGATCGATTCTCAACCTTTTTGTAACTCTATTCGGGGTTTGGACACAACGTGTTATGCTATTTATGTCTATCATCCGCATCATCTAGGTAATTGAAAAGTACATTCCTCCAGTAGCTGTGAGCACAAACATTTTTGCTGCAGATGGTGCTGTAAAAGAATTATTTATCATTGTATGTAATGCTTTATTATCCTGCTATTTTCATTGTCCTGTTTTAAATTCACCTACATCAGTACTGTTTTAGTGAAAAGTGAGAAAATGATAATATAATAATAAAATGATGAAAATGAAATGAAAATAAAAAAAGAATCTCAGCTCCTAAAAATGAAGGAAAAAACATGACTGTACCCGAAACACACACACACACACACACACACACACATGCCCATGATAGCTACAACACTCAGACTACAGGTAATAATCACAGCCCATGACAGCTACAACACTCAAACTACAGGTAATAATCACAGCCCATGACAGCTACAACACTCAAACTACAGGTAATAATCACAGTTCATGAGAGCTACAACACTCAAACTACAGGTAATAATCACAGCCCACGACAGCTACAACACTCAAACTACAGGTAATAATCACAGCCCATGACAGCTACAACACTCACACTACAGGTAATAATCACAGCCCATGACAGCTACAACACTCAAACTACAGGTAATAATCACAGCCCATGACAGCTACAACACTCAAACTACAGGTAATAATCACAGCCCACGAGAACTACAATACTCAAACTACAGGTAAAAGACACGGCCCATGAGAACTACAACACACAAACTACAGGTAAAAGACACGGCCCACGAGGACTACCACACTCAAACTACAGGTAAAAGACACGGCCCATGAGAACTACAACACTCAAACTACAGGTAAAAGACACGGCCCACGAGAACTACAACACTCAAACTACAGGTAAAAGACACGGCCCATGAGAACTACAAACTACAGGAATCTATTGCAGTCCAAACTAGATCTAATTCAAAGACATCCTATATCCAATATTGTCATTATTATTTCGAAAATGCTGTTGAACTCAGATTGTTCCTTTACGAGCTTGCTTACGTTACAGCCAATGATGTAGCGATCCTGAAGGTCGACCCCATTGACTTCAACGCCATCCCCAACACCGCACCAGCCTGCCTCGCCACCGCCGACTACGCTCTGACAGGACAAGACTGCACTGCAGTTGGAGTTGGAACCACCAGCTTTGGTAATCCCACAATGTCGTTATGCAGTTTTTTAAATGTGGTTCATTCGAAATTTGCTCTGTTAACTATAACGTCGGCCCTGTTCATTGTCGAATTTCAATAGTGACTGATGCTTTTACGCAGCTTCTGTTAGTTTTCAAGTTTTATGATCACGGATGATGTCAAGGATTGGCTTGACATAATGAGTTTTACTTGTGTCCGCTAGGTGGCCAGCAGCCAGATAATTACCTCCTGCAACAAGTGTCCGTTCCAACTCAGGACGGCAACACCTGCGACCAAGACCAAAGCATCCTCGTCCAGATGACCGACCCCAACAACCAGATCTGTGCTGGTCAAGCGGGCAAAGACTCCTGCCAGGTCAGTATAGGCGTCCACTGACAATCGCAACATAAATGAGGCTTTAAGCAGAGGTTTCCTATGATTATGTAAAGAGTCGTGTATTAATGATTATGACACACGCGTTACCTGTGGTGTAAACAGCATGCAACCTTTGATCACAGCCACAATGGTACTCGTTTATAACGAACATGCTTACAACGAACTGGCAGATATAACGAACCTATTTTTCAGTCCCGGCCATTTGTTGTATATATGCTGTATATATGCTTATAACGAACTGCGGTTATTATGAACTAAAATTAGTGGTCACTTTGAGTTCGTTATCAGCGTAGTTTACTGCAGTTATTTTGTTGGTTTTATGTAGGTCGTACACATAATGTGATGCCACAAGGCTATTGGGCACTACTCTTACACATACAGTATTATGGATAACTGGAAGCAGTTTAGGGTCCCTTGGTCGCTCACCTATGTGTTGGGCATACCTTGCTGGAAGAACAATTTAACACTATCTGCATAGGGGAAATGTGAAAGTGACAACGTGGAAAATATGTGAGGTTTCCGTCGGGATGTGTAAAGGTGACTGTGATTACCTGGGTATATATAAAGGTGGCTGTGATTGCCTGGGTATATATAAAGGTGACTGTTTGCCTGGGTATATATAAAGGTGACTGTTTGCCTGGGTATATATAAAGGTGACTGTTTACCTGGGTATATATAAAGGTGGCTGTGATTGCCTGGGTATATATAAAGGTGACTGTTTGCCTGGGTATATATAAAGGTGGCTGTGATTGCCTGGGTATACATAAAGGTGGCTGTGATTGCCTTGGTATATATAAAGGTGACTGTAATTGCCTGGGTATATATAAAGGTGACTGTGACTGCCTGGGTATATATAGAGGTGGCTGTGACTGCCTGGATATATATAAAGGTGGCTGTGACTGCCTGGGTATATATAGAGGTGGCTGTGACTGCCTGGGTATATTTTGAGGTGGCTGTGCTGCCTTGGTATATATAGAGGTGGCTGTGACTGCCTGGGTATATATAGAGGTGGCTATGACTGCCTTGGTATATATAGAGGTGGCTGTGACTGCCTGGGTATATATAGAGGTGACTGTGACTGCCTGGGTATATATAGAGGTGGCTGTGACTGCCTGGGTATATATAGAGGTGGATGTGACTGCCTGGGTATATATAAAGGAGACTGTGACTGCCTGGGTAAAAAGGTGACTGTGACTGCCTGGGTATATATAAAGGTGACTGTGACTGCCTGGGTATATATAGAGGTGGCTGTGACTGCCTGGGTATATATAGAGGTGGCTGTGACTGCCTGGGTATATATAGATGTGGCTTTGACTGCCTGGGTATATATAAAGGTGACTGTGACTGCCTGGGTATATATAGAGGTGGCTGTGACTGCCTGGGTATATATAGAGGTGGCTGTGACTGCCTGGGTATATATAAAGGTGACTGTGACTGCCTGGGTATATATAGAGGTGACTGTGACTGCCTGGGTATATATAGAGGTGGCTGTGACTGCCTGGGTATATATAGAGGTGGCTGTGACTGCCTGGGTATATATAAAGGTGGCTGTGATTGCCTGGGTATATATAAAGGTGACTGTAATTGCCTGGGTATATATAAAGGTGACTGTGACTGCCTGGGTATATATAGAGGTGGCTGTGACTGCCTGGGTATATATAGAGGTGGCTGTGACTGCCTGGGTATATATAGAGGTGGCAGTGATTGCCTGGGTATATATAGAGGTGGCTGTGACTGCCTGGGTATATATAGAGACGGCTGTGACTGCCTGGGTATATATAAAGGTGACTGTGACTGCCTGGGTATATATAGAGGTGACTGTGACTGCCTGGGTACATATAGAGGTGGCTGTGACTGCCTGGGTATATATAAAGGTGACTGTGACTGCCTGGGTATATATAGAGGTGACTGTGACTGCCTGGGTACATATAGAGGTGGCTGTGACTGCCTGGGTATATATAAAGGTGACTGTGACTGCCTGGGTATATATAGAGACGGCTGTGACTGCCTGGGTATATATAAAGGTGACTGTGACTGCCTGGGTATATATAGAGGTGACTGTGACTGCCTGGGTACATATAGAGGTGGCTGTGACTGCCTGGGTATATATAAAGGTGATTGTGACTGCCTGGGTATATATAGAGGTGGCTGTGACTGCCTGGGTATATATAGAGGTGGCTGTGACTGCCTGGGTATATATAGAGGTGGCTGTGACTGCCTGGGTATATATAGAGGTGGCTGTGACTGCCTGGGTATATATAAAGGAGGTGTTTTGTGTGTCTTGTTATTGGCACTTCATAAAAGATAAATGTTGGTGACGTCATGGACAATAATGTGTGGTTCTTCTTCAGGGTGATTCTGGTGGTCCTCTGTACTGCCAGCAGGACGGTCAACAAGTTCTGACAGGTGTTGTGTCCTACGGTGTTGACTGTGGTCAAGACGGTTTTCCTGGTGTCTACGCCAAGGTGTCCAGCTATGCTGACTGGATCGCTGCTCGTTCTGGCTGTTAAACTACGAACGCTGTGTGTAATAAATACTTACAAAATAAATTTATCATGTAATTGTCCTTTCGTTGTACAATCATTTCTGAGAAACACCGATTTTACGGAGCATGTGTGAGATTTGTTTGAACTCTAACGAAACTATTAACTCATTCACTCGATGGTACAAAATTGAATTTGGCAAAATGAAATGACCACGCTGTACTCTTACTCTCACGTGAAGGGAGCTCCTGCTTAATAACACCAAGTGCGATCGGGACTATTTTGGGTATCAGGTGGTCATTCGAAAGGGTACGTCAGTAGAACTGTGCAGCTGTACTCTGCAACGTCTACTCTACTCCTAGACGGATATAATCTACTCCCGATAGAAACTACTATTTTTCATATTTTACTTGAATATGTCAAGTCCATGAGTTTTAACACTTGCCGATCACAGGACTATCACCCTTGCATTACAGTAGTGCGATTGTCCTTCCAACTTGATCTGTTGATAGGCTTGACTCAAGTCCGACTTTGAGAATTCTTCCCCTCCACCTACTACGGCGTAAAGATCTTCTGTCTCAGGCATCGGATAGTTATTCAACTTAGGCACTTTGTTACTGTGACTTTGGAATCACCACGCGTCCATGAATGATGTAATGTTTCTTTTCACATCACGTTTTGTTTATTAGTGACGCTCTGAAATTGTCTATTCCCACGCTGCATGCACCACTGGGAAAAATGTATTTGTTTGAAATGGAAACAAAGCTGTTGTTACACTGACGCAAAATCACTCACACCAATACAGTATTTATCTGCATTTCTGACTAATTCCACAAATATCAATACCGGGACTACACGTTTTTAAACCCACTCCTTATTTAGCCCATGGGCTTAAAACGGAAAAATCAAACGCTTTTAAACCCATTGGCTTAAATTAAATTGAAAAATTGATTGATCTGTCTTTACGGATGCTCTTCAACAAGTGTTAAAGCACGCTTCTGTACGGCCAAGTAGCACTAACATTGCACCTACATGGTGCAGAGGTTTCCCCATTTACAAGACACATTGGACGCCTAAGGTTGGTGATATTCTGGAAACTCAGGGAGCGGGCGAGTAGCCTTGTGGTTAAAGCGTTCGCTCGTCACGCCGAAGACCGGGGTTCGCTTCTTGACATGTGTACAATGTGTGAAGCCCATTTCTGGTGTCCCCAGCGTGATATTGCTGGAATATTGCTAAAAGCGGCGTGAAACCATACTCACTCACTCACTGGAAACTCAGTATGACATTTAAACGCATAAACACGCAAACAGCGATAATGGTTTGTTGTTACTTTATTAATAGCTGTAATTTCAATTTTGAACGCGTCCATGACTCATAAATCATGTTGCTCTCTCATTCCAGTTGTGGGTATTGTTTCATATTCATTCTTCCCCTTATGTTTTTGTCCCTTTTCGTTTTTACGCCCTTGACTTAGATCTGGATAAATTGCTACTCATTTGACATAGACAATATCTGTCATTAAGCCCTAGCATCTTTATCATGGATTCAAGGCCATCGTTCATTCCCACTGCGTCAGGACCGTGAAGATCCGGGGTAGAATAAGTTTTCAGCAACCCATGCTTGACCCGCGAAAATGCGGGATCGGGATCGGCTGGGCAGCCTCTCTGATTTGGTTGAGGTATGTCATCGTATCCCAATGTGTAGATCGATGCTCATTATGTCCGTCACTGCATTGTCTGGTTCAGACTCGATTATTTACAGACCACCGTCATGTTGATGAAATATGGGTGAGTGCGACGTTAAACAACAAACAAACAAACAAACAGAAAACCCTACTACGACCTGCCTTGTGTCTGTGTACATACCCATCACGGGCATGACATGTCTGACACACCGCCATGCCGACCTGTTTCCAGCATACTGCTTCCTGGATCCAGTCGGACATCGAGCCTCATCGAAGCTGCTCAAGTAGGACAATTGCGGGCCATGACACTGCACTGACTTTGTGAATAGGGCCTTCGATCATCATGTTCACTTGTGCTGCACATGGCCATTGTATCACATATTTGCCATCGATTGCCGTGTCTTATTTGATTGTCAACCTTAGTCTGGGTATTTCTATGTCATTTGTTGATTTTTCATTGCTCTTGTGTGGTTATTGACTAATTTCACATTCTAGCTTTGTACGTACTGGTTTCTGGGTTAACCTTAGAGTTTAAATTTAAGAATGAACTTAACTTTACCTTAAGGAAAATGTGAGAAGATGAAATGTAAATATGTCTACAAGATGCACGTATTTCCTATAAACAGGTTAACGAACAACCATTTCATTTTTATAAAGTTGAATATATTACTTTTGTAAAATGTTTCATAATATATTAAATTTGTGTTGCCCAAAGTTCATTGTAATATAAAGACTCTCAGTTGCGAGTGTAACCCCTTATTGCCGGAGGGGGTCACGGCTGGCCCCGTCGTCTAAGGCGACGCGATTCGCTGTGCAGAGTTGCGTCCCTTGGGCACGCCAGAAACCTATGATTGTGGGTTCGAATCCCGCTTCGCCCCGATTATGTTTCTAGATTTGTCAGCACCATACCCATGCTCGTGGGTTTCACCGAAGTAGTAAACGTCTGAAACCTGCATCACTTCGGGCTTTCCTCCCACATTAAGCTAACATGCCGTGATATAACTGGAATACTGTTAAAAGCGGCGTAAAACCCAACTCACTCACTCACTCACTCTTCTCATTCTCCACCGAGTGAGTGAGTTGAGTTTAACACCGCTTTTGACAGTATTCCAGTTATATCACGGTGTGTCAGCTTAATGTGGGAGGAAACCCACGACGGGCACGGGTATGGTGCTGACAAACCTAGAAACATCGGGGCGAACCGGGATTCGAATTGCGGTGCCTTAGATGACTGGGACACTTTTAATGGTAGAGCGTACTGGGGCTTATAACACTGTGCGTCATGAAACATAATTCGGTAGCCGGAGTGTAAATGGGAGACCCATTTATTTACCACAACTGATGTCATAACCTTTATATTCGAGCTGGTGTTATTAGTTATCTATTCCAGTTAATGTCATTAGTTATTGATCACAGCTGATTCTAAAACTTATTGATCACAGCTGATTCTATTACATATTGATCACAGCTGATTCTATTACTTATTGATCACAGCTGATTCTATTACATATTGATCACAGCTGATTCCATTAGCTGATTCTATTACTTATTGATCACAGCTGATTCTCTTACTTATTGAACACAGCTGATTCTATTACTTATTGATCCCAGCTGATTCTATTACTTATTGATCACAGCTGATTCTATTACATATTGATCACAGCTGATTCCATTAGCTGATTCTATTACTTATTGATCACAGCTGATTCTATTACTTATTGATCACAGCTGATTCTATTACTTATTTGTTCCCGCTGATGTTTCTACTTATTACCCTATTTGAATTTATCGTTGCTGATGTTAAAATTTATTTATCCCAGCTGATGTATTTACTTACACATCTAAGCTGGCGGCTTTGATGTCGTTAGTCCTGTGACGTCAAAAAAAAACAAGCGGGTCATTGCTAGACGCGGAGTAAAATCCTACCTATTCACTGTGTTACATGCATTGACATATGTAAGTTTGCGTGTCCAGCGTTGAATGCGTGAGTGAACCTCGCATCACCACATGTATTTGGCTCAAATAAACAACCCGAGAAACTTCTTCATAGAACAGTCAGTCACCCCAAATGATCTGACCGGTATTGTCCTAATGAAGTGGTTTCTTGCGTGTAACTTCTTTTCACAATAGAGCTCATGTCCAACGCACAAGCCTATTTGTCCGGGTTCAAACAATGTGACCTAAACCCGGAATGAGAACGTGCACACTGTTACCGGGATCGACCGACAAAACCCCGAGCTCTCTCCCCGTCTATACACTGAACTGCCCATCGCTCGTGAAGCTACATACCACGCGCTGCTTACTGTTTAAACTATTTCCTTTAGCCGCAAGGGGAGAGAAGCAAGCAATATTAATGATTCTTTCTATTAAATCCTTTTTTTTCTAAAAGAATACACAAAGAAGTCTTTTTTTTAAGGAAAGTGTGTACATTCATTGTAATTTTCATCTTACATCATATGATTAAAACATACTGAGGTCAGTATAGTAGCTCACATTCCTCACGCCGTTGTATAGTAGCTCACATTCCTCGCGTTTGTATAGTAGTTCACATTCCTCGCGCCGTTGTATAGTAGCTCACTTTCCTCGCGCCGAAATATAATAACTCACAGTTCTCACACTGTGTTATAGTGGCACCTTGTTCTCACATCGTGTTATAGTAGCTCCTTGTTCTCACATCGTGTTATAGTAGCTCCTTGTTCTCACATCGTGTTATAGTAGCACCTTGTTCTCATATCGTGTTCTAGTAGCCCCTTGTTCTCATATCGTGTTCTAGTAGCTCCTTGTTCTCATATCGTGATCTAGTAGCTCCTTGTACTCACATCGTGTTCTAGTAGCTCCTTGTTCTCACATCGTGTTCTAGTAGCTCCTTGTTCTCACATCGTGTTCTAGAAGCTCCTTGTTCTCATATCGTGATCTAGTAGCTCATTGTTCTCACATCGTGTTATAGTAGCTCCTTGTTCTCACATCGTCTTCTAGTAGCACCTTGTTCTCACATCGTGTTCTAGTAGCTCCTTGTTCTCACATCGTGATCTAGTAGCTCCTTGTTCTCATATCGTGTTCTAGTAGCTCCTTGTTCTAACATCGTGTTATAGTAGCACCTTGTTCTCACATTGTGTTATAATAGCACCTTGTCCTCACATCGTGTTATAGCAGCTCCTTGTTCTCACATCGTGTTATAGCAGCTCCTTGTTCTCACATCGAGTTATAGTAGCTCCTTGTTCTCACATCGAGTTATAGTAGCACCTTGTCCTCACATCGTGTTATAGCAGCTCCTTGTTCTCACATCGTGTTATAGCAGCTCCTTGTTCTCACATCGTGTTATAGTAGCACCTTGTCCTCACATCGTGTTATAGCAGCTCCTTGTTCTCACATCGTGTTA